ATTTTCTATATTATCAAAAAATAATAAACTTTGCACATGAAAACGCTTTGTAACTTTTAAATTTGAAATCTAGTAGACAGCTGTCACTTTTAGTAAAAAATGTTAATAATAGGTGCCGGTAAAAGCTTGAGTGGTGAAGAAATAGGTAAAATTAAGGCTTTTGGAACAACAGAGAAATTGCAAGAAAGATTATTGCAGCCTTCGTGTTATCAATATTTTTTCAAGAATGTTGAAAATTATATGAAGAATTACCACGGAGAAGCAGAAACAGAGACTGCTTCCAGAGAAAGGCGAAACATTTTGCGTGAAGCGCCAAATTCCACACTAATAGCAAGAGCTAAACACTAAAATATTGTTCGAAAATTAATAAAAATACTTTATTTTTTTGATGTTTTTCTGTATGTGAACTTTCGTAGTACTTGATTAAAATAAAACAAAAAAAAACAAATAAATGAGTAACTAAAACCAAATACATAAAAAAAATTGGTCAAAGCTTGTTTCGACTGAACTTCCCCTTCCCCCAAAGTACAATAAAACAAATCCAGCTTTTTCGAAAAATTACAAAATTTGATTTTTTATTTTTTTTATGAAAATCCTTAAGTTAAAATAAAGATATGTAAGTAATGTTAAGGTAAATGTAAAGGAGCATGCCAAGGTATGCTTCGAATGAGTTTTTGTGATGACGTCATCCACATTTTTGAAAGGACGTCTGAATCAGTTTGACTAGGTGCAGTTTAATACTAATAATAACAATATTGTATTTCTCAATTTTCCGGAAAATGGAGTGAACCAATCCTGATTTAATCAGTAAAATAAATTGACTCATTTTTTAACTTCTCAAGTCATGCTGTATAAGCGGTTCTAAAAAATTTTTATACAATGATAAATCACAAGTAGGGACTCATCATATCTTGCACATTTTAGATAAGATTATTCGTCAAAATTTTGAGATGACTTCAGCAATTTCTTGGAGTGAGTTAACAGATATATTTTGATTACAAATTTACAGTGCTTACGATAACTTTCAAATGTCTACAAGATTTCAAAACATTCGGTTTTGCAGTTTCTGATCTAATAAATAAAATAAATTCACTCATTCATTATTTTTTTTAGTTACTCTGTATAAGTAGTTCTAAAAAATATGAATAAATCAGGAATATATAGACTCATAATATTTTCGCATTTTATATGGGGTTTATTTGACATCAATTTTTTGGGAGGAATAAACAAACAACTATACAGGGTGTTTCATGAGTAGTGCCCAGCCTTACAGGATTGGAAATGCAACACAATACATTCTCAGAGGTATCATTGATGTTGACAAAAAAACAAATTACGTATAAAACATAGTCAGCCTTAGCTTTCTATAAGTTTTATCAAAAATGTCAATTCAAAACGTTTTTAGGTTATTGTTCTAAGTTCAATCAAAGAGAGTTTATTATTCAAAAACCAAACAAATAATTAAATAATATTAATGCAACAAATGCTGAAAATGCCGTCTTTCATTCTGTTGGCAGGCTTGCAGTCTTGCCCAAAACGACCTTTTCACTCTTACTAAAATTTCGGGTGTAATAAGATGGCATTCTTCAGAAATTCTTTGTTCCAAATGTTCCACATGGGGTTTGATAAACCCGTTCCTTCAGAGTGCCCCAGAAATCAAGTGGTATAAAATGTGGGCTTCTTGGGGGCCACGGATTTACTGAACCTCTTCCTATCCAACGATCTTCAAATCTTTCATTTAAATATTCCCGCACGGTTAGCCGAAAATGTGGCGGAGCTTCATCCTGCTGGTACCATAAATTTTGCCTTGTTTCTAAATCTATGTCTTCTAGAAGCAGTGGCAAATCATTTTGAAGAAAATTAAGGTACATATTACCCTTTAAATTGCCTCTAAAGAAATGGGGCCCTATAATTTGGTTGTTCAATATTCCACACCAAATATTTGTTGAGTAGACTGTTTGAAAATGACCCTGTCGTATCCATGGCGGATTATCTGGGGAATAATAGTGCAAGTGGTTTTTAATAACTCCCCCATTATTCGAAAATTTCGCTTCGTCCGAAAATAAATAAAACATTGTTATAAAAATTTGGATTCAAATTTTGTTGGTCCGAAAAAAAATTGCATAAAAAAGTGATACGAAACGGGTGCAATTTATTTCCTTTTAAGATCCTATTAACCGAAGACAAACTAATTTCAGTTTCTCGTGAAATTTGTCTTTGGTTGACATGTTTGTGGATTTGCATCGATAATATCATTTCTAGTACCCTAATTTCGTTGTCTGGTGTTGTTGTTGTTCTGAGTCGATTTCGTTTAAGAGGGGGCCAGTCCTTTCTTAAAGCGGCCTCGAGTCTTTTGAAGATCTTGTCATCTGGCGCTCTTCGGTCGGGAAATCGCATAGCATACAATCGGGCAGCTGCACGAGCGTTTTTCCTGCATTCCCCATATATTAAAATCATGGCACATTTCTCGTCGTTCGAATACATGATGGCAAACAATGTGACAAATGGTGACAAACGAGGTGACAAATATATTTTGAAAGCAAAAGCATCGTAGTTTTATGTTCGAATTCAAACAAAAAATATCTTATTAACAGTGAAATAATTATGTTTTGCTGGTTGCATTTAAAGTTTGTAAGGCTCGGCATTACTCATGAAACACACTGTATTTTGACTGCCCATGTTCAATTTCTCTAAATTGAAAAAATGTCATCTCTATGACATCATCACATTGTTGGTGGGGATGATTAGACAAAGATTGGTTAGCGTTTTAACGTCTATATCATATTCATAAATCATAGACATATAAAATTTTACAAAACAATCGGTCAAGTAGTTTCGGAGATTATCTGTCTTAACAAAAATTGACACAGAAGGTGGACGGACAGAGAGACAGACAGACGGACGGAAACCGGAGACCTACGTGCTCTAGGGGTCATGACCCATCGAGAAAATGTAAAAGTAGCTAGTTGCTCGATGAATTCGATCCTTAGCTTAAGCTCGGGAAGTAAAAAGCATGTCGGTTATGTCTTAGTAAACTCAATACCTATAAGGCTGAGTTATTTTGCTGATGCTTTCTAGATTGACAGTTAAGAGTATCTTCATGTGTAAATTTGAACATGTGTAACAGATCGAGTGAAACTGTCAAAACAACAGAAGCCAAAAGTGGGATACAAGCATTATTATCATACGAACGTAAAGTGTGCTGATAACGAGGCGTTGGTTGACCTGTGTTATCTCACGAGTATTATAATAACACTCTAAAATACGTTTAAAGTGTTATTACGATTTCCTGGCTTTTTTAAAACACTAGCTAAACAAATTAATAAGACTTCTATTTATAATCTAGAGATCATCCAACTTATACTTATACAAATCCTTATCAATCAACATTTTTAGAAGATGGTGTTTATCCTTTAGGGGTATAGACAGCTCAGTTTTACTTTCTAGATTTAATTTTAGTTCTTTGTCTACACGTAGGATATCATTTAATATTAATTTTCTTCGGGGATTATTAAATAATAAAATTGATTGCTGTTGGTTATTATCTCAATGAAATTTTCTTGTACCTTTATACTTAATTTTGTTATTATAATTTTTCTGTAATTGGGCTTGTCCCGTTGGAGAATAAACCTTATTATAATCAATCAGAGGAAAAGTAGTCATAGGTGCACTTTATCCCACTTCCGTGGATAATAATTTAATATTTATTTAACTGGGATAAATTTCATATATCTCACTCGTTTCAGTTAAATAACGAGTTAAGTCACCGATTTATAATGACTTTTATATAAATTTTGAAATATTGTGCGTTACGTATGAGTTAACGACTTATCATACTTGTTTGATTATTTATCTCTGCTAATGTTTTATTTTCTGCTACATAATATCCGCATGATAATATTACTTTTATTCCTTTGGGATTGCCATATATTTTAATGCCTGACAGTACTGCAATGATGAATAAGCCTTATGTTGTAAACTTTTTGCATACATGTAGATTTAAGTTGTTTCTGAATTGTTACACCAAATAAGTTACTGTATAGAACACTAATTTAAAACAACAAATTTGATGAAATTGCAAAATTTCACTTTTTAAGGAAAAACTAGGTACTTAAGGACCAGATTACATGCAACATATTCCAGTCACTCTTTCAATCAACATTTATTAATAACTGTATTAGACTCTTCGCAAGTTGCTGGATTAAACACTCTTTTACTTTACCAACTGCAAACTCATTCCAGCTATTCGAAGCAAAATCATTTGGTAATAATCGTTGCAGATTTAACCGCTCGGTTTATTCACGGTCACGAACCAATAATTATTAATCTGGAATAATTTGTTAGGTTCATACATTCATCGTTGAGAGCTCTTTGACGGATTTGCTTGACCATTTTACACCAAACTAGTAAAGATATGGTATGTAGTAAAAAAACAAAATATAGGATTTGTCCCAAACAATTCTCATTAGAAATTCGCGTCTAATCAATATTTAAGATAAATACAATAACCGAATATCGTCATGCGTGTCACTGTAATTATTTATCTAACTGCCCATCCATTACTGTAATTTAAAAATTACATCGGAAATGTGGAATGGCAAAATCTTGTGAAATATTTTCGACGTCTAAATTAAGCCGTTTATTTATTTAACACTCTCACCCATGCAAATGGCAGATCGCATTAATTCGAAATTTTACACCAATTGAATCCGAGAATAATGGAACTATTTTTGGTCAGCCGACATTAAAATTGCTGTGGCCCCGCATTTATTGCAGCTTCAGATAGTTAAACAAATACGATCGAAAATAAAACAATTTCGTATTTGTGCGTTGTTTATACCGAGGCAAAACTTAAACAGTTGAAACCGTGTCAGTAGTTCAAAATTTTATTAGTTATTTGATTGATTTTATTAATGCGTTTACGCAGGAATTTACATGACACACATGTCTATTTTTGGCGCGACTTAATTTTCTTTTAATTAATATCACCGATTTTACAGATTTGTCCGCAGACAAAGACGGAGGCGACAGGCTAATGGTTGCGTGGGTTTGTATAAGCGGATTCACCTCTGCAATACGCAGGTAAATAAATTCTTTCGCTTATTAATCCGGAATGTTCAGCAGCTCCGGATGAGACAATGGCTTTAATCATTTCTTTACCAAAAAATTCCAGCATGTGCGTGTCGTGATTTCGCCAGAGGGTCGGGTCAAGCATGTCTTTAAATCATTTATAAACTTGACACTAGTTGCTACCGACTAATTTCATTGCCCACCCAAGCATTGTTTTCAAGACAAATCCTGTTGCAGAGCTGTCCATCAGGCGCTGACTTTCGCTACGAACAATGTGCGGCATTCAACAACAGGATTTTCAAAGGGAGGACGTACGTTTGGGAACCCTTTCTTAATGGTAAGGTTAAAGAAGAGAGCATTTTTCACACGACTTTCACTTGCCTTCAAGAGCGCAAACCCTTTTACTACTAAAATGGGCTAAGCAGTTTTTCAGCGAAAGATTAATGATTAGCCAAGGCTATTCGAAGTGATTGTTCCTACCCACTCCATGAAATGGTATCCGAGTTGCTTTTGGAACCGCTTATTTAGGTCTTTGACTTTGGAGTTATTGACTCCTAATTTGGCGATTGCGAATTTTGACACATTACATTTTGCTGAGACCACATACAGGCAGCATTTGCATAGTGATGAAAGGCTTAAGCACTAAAAAACAGCATACTATATAATGAGGACTTTAAGGAGACGTTTCTAATCTAATACATCATTTCCGATTAGGTTGTACTGTGTCCTGGAAAAATTTTTGGGTTGCAGATGACGTTATAAGATTTTTATTCTTTACCATAGACGCGTTAAAAAAAATTGGTAAAATCTCTGGAGCGTATCAGGTTTTTCAGAGAAATCAGTGAATATAAAGTCTATGTTAACTGTGTTGGTATTTGTAGGACACTGCTACACGAGTATTTCGGTACAAAGTACCATCTTCGGGCAGAAGAATAATTTTGTTATGAAAATATGTGCTTGTTTTAGAATGAGTGGTTTTTCTCAAGTAGTGCATCCAAAATTATTCCTTTAAAGAGATCAACAATAATTTGCAAGTGTTGAAAGTTTTCATCTAACGTTTTTCAAATCGTTCTCTACGTTTGGCTAACAATCCCGACAAATGTCAACTTGTCAGTGTTTCCTCAAAATAATAGTTCTACTTGCACTTCAAATGAAATAAGATACATAGTTATGTTTTGGGTTGAAACCAAAGAGTATTGTTAATTTGTAGAATCTATGAAATCAGAGTAACATAATTATTAATCGTAATGGTACATTGTAATCAGTGATCACATGAAATGCCAAATGTGTGCTGTGATATGATTTGTGAGGAAAGTAAGAAATACTAGAAATTTGTTTTTCCAGAAGAAAGATTCAGACTATGATTCATGATCTTTTTGTGTGTCTCAACTCTCAAATTAGTTACACTTTAGCTACTCTTAAAGCAGTCAAAATTGGTGTAGTGGTACGGTGATTACCTTCTGACCAAAATGTACCTACACATTTTTAATCGTTAGATTAAAACAGTTAAATTCATAATAATATATTCTTTATGAGAACATTAAGCTGTTACTAGGTAACTGCTATTATTTGATCTTCATTATTGCGTCAAATATGTGGACTCTTGAATTATAATGAAAAAAAAAATAGCCTAATTTTATTTAGACAGGGCTTTCCTAGATCTTAAAGTACAGTACAATATGTCCACCAATTTCGAAAAATTATAGCATTTGATTATTATATTGATTAACGTCCATTTCATTATAACACTTCATTTTGCGAATTTCGTTTTTCTTGGACCTCTAGGGTTTAAAAATCAAATAAATCAAGACCATATAAAATTTAAATAACATTTACTAAAAAAAGAAGGATGATTTACACGATATTCATAACATACGTACATATATATAATTTAATTTTTTGTACTCTTGGTGTCATGAAACCTTGAGAAAACATGAAAGTAGCCTTTTTCGGAAAGACCCTATGGCAATATTTCCCAGTTTAACTAATTTTAGATCAATTTGTTTTTCTTATTTTTTTTTAATTTAATGTGAGGTTACGAGAGCTATTTAAGTTATATTTGCATATAACAAAAACTTGGTGAAGGTTATTGAGACGAAACATCCCTCGCCTCTGAAATACAACAAATATAAACAATTGTAAAATTAAATTTTGCAACAACAAGTTAAAATAAGTATTAAGTAAGAAGCATATGTCTGAAGTGTATTTCTCAGCGACTTTTAGTAATAAGATAATAATAGTACTGATAAAAAAATAAAAGCAATATGCCAAATTTCGATACAAGTCCAGACATCATGACTGCTTGAAATAATCCAAACTACACGAGCCTCAAAATATCAAAAGATACTATATGTTTCAGTGTCCTCAAAATGTAGCTGATGAAAGTTTTTTACCGAGTTGAATTATGTGTGAGTGTCATAGCAGTTTCTTGTCAATTAATAATCCCAAAAATTTGACTCAATTTTTTTGAATTATTGTTTTTCCATTTAATTTTATACATAAGGGAGATTCATAGTTAATATTTTGAGATATAAACTGAACCATACAGGTCTTCGAGGTGTTTAGCTTCGGCCCATTCGCCGTTAAGCAGTTCAGTATTTCTTTACATGCGTTGTTACCATTAGTCACCAGCTGATTAGTTATTATAAAGTTTGCATCATCTACATAATGTCATTTACAAAAGCTATGAACAGTAAAGGGCCCAAAGTTGACCCTTGGGGTACAGCGATATTTATTTTGTTTGCTTCCGAAATTGTTTTATTGATTACATTTACATTACATTGGCAAAATTAATATAAAGCACAAGTAGAAGTTCAACATATCTTGTATATTTTAGATATGATTTTTTTCGGCAAAATTTTGAGATAACTTCATTCACTTTTTATGATAGGATAAACGACAAGTTTTGATTAACGATTTACCATAATATAGTAACCTTAAAAATTTCAAAGCTATCGGTTCTGTAAAATGTTATAGTAGTATTCATTTATTATTTGCCTTACAGGCTTAATAAGATTCCCAGTACACATAATACACTACATAATACAAATTAATCAATGAAAATAAATAAAATAATAATATAAAATAAATAAATAAATATTCGAATTTTATGTAATAATAATTGTTCTATTCTTTCCGCTTGCCGACCCCTTATCTTCCGTACTTCTTTCATCCAGTCCAGTCCTTTTCCACCCTCACTTAGCATTTCTTCGCTACTTTCCTCCGATTCTTTCAATACTTCACATCCTTTCAGCATATGCTCTATTGTTTATCCCTCTCTCCAACATATCCTACACCTTCTGTCAGTTTCATTCATCAAAAAATTATTCTCTTTCTCTTCAATTCCACACCTAAATCTCGCCATCATTCTTTTCTCCCTTATACTCTCTCTCTCTTCGCATTATGGTACTTCATCCTTTACTATTTTTCTATACTCTGCATTATATCTAGACTCCGATATTCCCGATCTGCGTTCTTCTTTATCTATATCCTTATCTCTCACACTCAGTTCTTCTTTCATACTCCTTCCCATTTCTCTCATGCTCCCTATTTCTTCACATGCATAACCCTTTCCTTCAGAATAGTCTCCTTCGTTCCAAATATGTTTTCCCCCTTCCTTTCTTATTTCTTTCCAACATTCTTGCAATATTTTAAAATCACCTCTCTCACTAAACTTCTCTTCAAATCCAACCGCCCTTCCACACGCTTCCACTCTCATTTTCTCCCTTTTTGTTTCTTCTCTCACCATATACCCCGGCGTATACTTTTTCAATCCCAACGTCCATTTTAAGTATTTTTCTTGTACTCACTCTATTTCTTCAAATCTCAGCACCGTACATAAAAAACACTTTTGATGAAACTATGAAACATCATCATTCTTCTCTTATTATCATGTCCAAATGTTCTCTCTCCTATTCCCCATACTATATATTCATATCACTTCGTTCGCATTGCGGACCATTTCTTGAATATGCGCTCTATCTGAGTTATTACTCTTTAATGTATATCCTAAGTACTGGAGTTCTTTCACCTGTTCAATGTTCTCCCCTCCCCATGCCCGCTCTTCTTTCTCCTTTCTTGCTTTCTTCCCAAACACCACCATTTTTGTTTTTTCCACATTCACTCCCAATTCCTTTTTTTACTACCACCCCTCCTGTCTGTGCTTTTCTGAACATTTCATCTATATCTAATAGATAAGCTGCAAACAATGCGGGGCTGAGTGGGCATCGCTTCCATTCCATTCACTCTCACTTTACTTACTGTTTCTTCATATATTTCTTCCATTTCCGTTACCAGGTACGCATCTACTCCCTTTCTCTTCAAATACTCCCACATTTTCTCTTTATTCACGCTATCAAACGCTGCTTTGAAATCTATGAACAATGCGTACATTCGTCTACCCTCTTTCCTTATTTCTTTTCCCACTAAATGCTGCAGGATGTACACATTGTCCATAGTACCTATTCCTTTCCTAAACCCTGCCTGACCGTCTGGTAACATACCCTTTGCTTCCATCTCCTTTCGTAATCTCTCATCTAGTATCATTGCGCATATCATATACGCCGTATTGAACAAGGTGATCCCTCGGTAGTTCTTCACATCACTCTTTTGCCCCTTTTTACTTCCCGAGCGTAAGCAAAGGAAGTATTGTAATCGAGTCCGTCGGCCGACTCTCTACTTTTACGTTTTCTCGATCTTTCATGACCCCTAGAAGACGAAGAAATAGGTCTCCCATTTCCGTCTGTCTGTCCGTCTGTCCGTCTGTCCGTCTGTCCGTCCGTCTGTCCGTCTGTCCGTCTGTCCGTCCGTCTGTCCGTCTGTCCGTCTGTCCGTCCGTCTGTCCGTCTGTCCGTCCGTCTGTCCGTCTGTTGTCCCGGATTTTTATTAGACAGATAATCTCCGAAAGTACTCGACCGATTGTTGTGAAATTTTGTACTTATATTAAGAATATCATGTAGATGGTAAAACGCTAACCAAAATTTGTCTAATCATCCCCACCACTAATGCGATGACGTCACTTCAAAATTGTACATAGTAAATGGGTTTTCAATTGTATAAAATAACATAGTCCTACACATGTAGTTTACAACTCCGAATCGACTTTTCACCCGAAACGTCCAGATTTTTGGAAAAAAAATCAAAATTATAAAACAACATTTTGAAATTTAATTTTTAATCTGCTAACCAGAATGCTTTGAAATGTTGCAGATGTTTTAAGGCTATAAAGAGCATCATAAATCTTTAGTCAAAAAATATTTGCTTACCCCCTCCAAAAACTTGATGACGTCAGCTCAAAAGTTTGTGGAATAAATCATATCTAAAATGTACAAAATATGATGAGTCTGTACTTGTGATCTATCACTCCATTCATATTTTTTGGATTTGCATATACAGGGTGACTCAAAAAAATTAATGAATGCGTAAATATATTTTATTGATTTAATCAGGAACTACAAAACCGAATGCTCTGAAATCTTGCAGATGTTTTAAGGTCATAAAGAGCATAATAAATGTTTAGTCAAAATATATTTGCTTATCCCCTCCAAAAACTTGATGACGTCAGCTCGAAAGTTTGCCGAATAAATCTTATCTAAACTGTACAAAATATGATGAGTCTGTACTTGTAATTTATCACTCCATTCATATTTTTTGGATTTGCATATACAGGGTGACTCAAAAAAATTAATGAATGCGTAAATTTATTTTTTCGATTTAATCATGAACTGCAAAACCGAATGCTTTGAAATCTTGCAGATGTTTTAAGGTTATAAAGAGCATAATAAATGTTTAGTCAAAATACATTTGCTTATCCCCTCCAAAAAATTGATGACGTCAGCTCGAAAGTTTGCCGAATAAATCATATCTAAAATGTACAAAATATGATGAGTCTGTACTTGTGATCTATCACTCCATTCATATTTTTTGGATTTGCATATACAGGGTGACTCAAAAAAATTAATGAATGCGTAAATTTATTTTACTGATTTACTCAGAAACAAAAAAACCGAATTCTTTGAAATCCACTGCGAAAAAAAAAACATAATAGGCATGCAGTCGTCACGTTTCCGACAGCGAGGGAAGTACTGTCGAAACTCTTTAGACCAATTTTTAAATAATGGGATTATTATACCTTCTCTCCATTGCACTGCCGAGGAAACCCATTTCCCTTCCAAACTTCATCTACCACTTCCCATATCCTTTCTTTCACTCCTTCTGTCCCGAACATCCACGCTTCGTTCTGGATTCCATCCCCTCCTGGTGCCTTTCCTCTTTTCAGTCTTTCACTCTGTCCTCCCATTTCATCTTCTGTTTTTCCGAACCTCTCCACATTTTTTCCGTCGTTGTGATTCCTTTATTTATTTTGCAGCTTTTTTCCTCACAACTTCTCAATAATTCCATAAAGTGTCTTTTCCATTAATGTATTTTGATTTCCCTACTGACTTCAGTCTTCCTTCTCCGTTCCTTGTTTATATATCTCCATACTTCTTCTTCTGTTGTCAGGGACTTTATTGTATTCTCTTCTTCTTCTCGTTTTTCTCTTTTTGTTTCAGCACATTTTCTCCTATAATTTTCTCTTGCTTTTAAGTACTCTTCTTTCTTTCCCCTGTTTTTCTTCATTTTTTTAATTTTCCCTTGCTTTTCTCTTCAACTCACTACATTCTCCTTTCTGTCCATTATTCCTCCCTTGCCATATGTATATCTTTCTTTTTTACGTAGCTTCTATAATTACGTTGATCAATTCTGCTATCATAGCTTCTATATCTTCTTTTACTTCGAATTTATTATTTTCTAGTGTATTTCTGTATCTTTGAATTCCCTTTTCATCCCGTATTCTTTTTTCTATTTCTTTTCATTCATTTCTTCTCTCTTGTTTTTCGTACTCTTGCTCTTTTGCTTTGATTTTTATTTCAAGTAGCATGTGGTCTGATTCTACCCTTTCCCCCACTTTGAAACTTTCTATTTCTTCCCACGCCTCTTCGTTGATAATCCCAAAGTCTATAATTGATTCTTCTCTAGCCCCTACGTACGTCCATTCTCCTTCTTCATCTCCTTCCTTGTTTCCATTCAAAATTTCCCATCCCATTTCTTCTATTATTATCTTACACAATTTTTTCCCTTCCCTGTTATTTGCTTTCCCTTTTGATCCCCTTTTCTCTCTCCTTTCGTTATCTATTATTCTTGTCCCCTTATCGCCCAGTCTTGCATTAAAATCCCCTCCTATAAGTATTTTTTCGTCTCCTTTTTCTTTTGTTTCCTTTTTTATTGTAAAATGTTATAGTTTTAATTTTTTTCCCAAAAATCTATACATCTAGGGTATAAACTTAAAACGAATTCATAAACAAGTGCAGGAGCATCTTATTATAATAATTTTTAAATAAAAGTTGATCAAATTTCGTAGGCGACACGAAAAATTAAGAAAAAGGAAAATATGGAAAAATATAATCGTGTAAGTACGAGAGTGAATTGAAGTCCAATAAGTAATTAATAATTAATTGTGTGACCATTTAAAAAAAAATCAGGAAAACAAAGTCACTAAATGGAAGAAGACAACTACAGAGAAAATACAGACTGATGTACCAAAATGTTATTGATGAAGGTTGGTATTGTTTGACGAGTTTCGCAGACTAAATATCCTTGCAGAAGAACTACAGTTGAGTTTCCGTGTGAAACATATTATTTGAAAGTAAATAACAAAGTCGCATATTTTGAAAAAGATGGTTTACTTTCAGTTTATTTTTGGACAAAAGTGTTCCTGTATGAAAGCACAGGTCTTTGTTTATGAGTTGTTGCCAATCATAATTAAATTACAATTATTAGTAATACCATTTGATCAAAAAAATTTGAAATAATATCAAGCTGGAATTAGTATTTGTAAATTAATTCCTTTTTTTCAATACACATTTATTGGCTCTAGAAGTGCACTGATCGTAAACCATTTTTAAAATCATGTTACTAAATTAAAATGAATGTTTTCAGCGCCTTTCTTTGTAAATACGTTATTTTTATGTAGTGTATCAAACTGCAATAACAAATAAATTATTCTTATAAATAATTATTAATAATAATTAATATAATAGGTTTAAAAGTAACTTTGTATGTCAAGACGCGAGGTTGGAAGAACTGCTTTTTAGTGTCAGAATGTATGCAACCAATTATGCGCTAGAAATTGCGGTGTATCTAATTAGTCGTTAGAGGAGGCGACAGATGAGCACGAGCTAACTTTCAGCTCCTCGGTCTATTCTTGCGATCGCAGAGCTTCAACCGCTAAATTGAATTAGCGTAAACCAAGTGGGAGTTTGGTTTCATGATAGCGTTGGCGGTTATTTTGTTTTCAATTGTGATAGACAGGTAATTTAAGAAGTTTGGTTTCGGTTAATCTCCTAATTGCTATTTGGCTGTGTGAGACGGCTGACCACAGCAAAGTTGCGGTGAAAACGTTAAAGTATTGGTAGCTTTCTTGATAATATTTACAGAATCGTAACAAATGCTATCCTGTTTTCAATATGAAGTAAATACTTAAAAAATAGGTTCAATTATTAAATAAATGCCACTGTCTTCTGGAGTCTTCAAAATGATTTACGTTTATAGTTGACTATGGATACCATTAGGGACAGTGAACATTTATTCCGTCTTTACTAATTTAACAAAACTTGAATTGGCGTTGGTTATTTCTTGTTTCTTGTCACCCTGATACTAAATAACCCTATGTACACATAGGTTCAAAGACCATAGTAAATTTTGTGTAGTAATTTATGCAACTTTTTTATAGCTCCTGACGAATGTGCTCTCAATTGTCGTGCATCAGGCCTTAATTTCTACGCCACCCTCAATAAAACAGTGATTGATGGCACTTCTTGTAAACATCCCATGATTTCTTATGGCAGACCAGCTCCCTCAGGAACACGAGGTATCTGCATCGAGGGATCGTGTAAGGTAAGTTTGAAAGATAGAGATTTGAGATTTGATAGATTTGATTGTGTGTTCCAACATATTTTACTTATACAATACATAGATATGTTATGATTAACTTTTAACATTAACAATTGAAATCCAGAATTTTTGTATTTTTATTTTTTTGTTATAGCTTTTTTCCTAAAACAATTTTTTCATAATTAAGTTAAAAATTAAATACAATACTTTTCAGAGGTAAGAGTCAACAATTTTTTTATTATTTATTCTAATAACAGAGTAATGTGTGATATGATTAGCAAGATGATTATCTATCTTATTATTTTTAACAAATAGTACGCCTTGAATGAAAAACGTCCTCGAGTTAGTACCCGACGTTTGTTAGTTTCGTTATTCGAGATAGGGCGTAACCTGCACTAAACTGGGCCTTTCGTTGCCAAGCATTCACGTAGTTCAGTACTTCCCCATATCTAATATCTCTAACGGAGGTAAGTTAGAAACTAACTACGAACTAACCAACTAACGTACCTATAATTATAGGGTTCTCGTGTGTAAAAAAAAAATGTAATGGTAAAGATCTGCATTTTTTCATGAGCTTTGTTTTACGAATTTGCAGGCCTTTTTGTTTGAAACTGCTAGAAATACTAAAAAAATGCTCAAATATTTTTATCCGACGATCCTGCATGTAGTAGAAATCGGCCGTCCCACCAATTAGTACCAAACACGTCCTGCGAATACAACGCCTGAGGAAGGAATTATGCAACTTGTCTATGTTTTTAGTTCAATTGGTCGTGTCGGTAACTGTTAAATTTACTTCAATTTCCGTTCCTTTAACTATTTCCACTCAGGACCGGCTTCAGACAGTCCACGAGTGCAGCAACCGCGTCAGAGACACAAAATGTTAAAATAAGAAACATATAAGCCAAGCTTGGAATTTGACAACGTAGCTTCAGCTTCAGGCTTCTCTGATTACTTGTTTTCTTAACAGCTAGATTTGTTATGTTCACAACATTTGGTTTGTCGTAATTAATATTTTTGTAAATTTAAACAGAGCCACTAGATCGTTACGTGTCATCTGCGACGCAATAGCAAAAAGTACGCATTTACGGGTACTATGTAATATATACTAACCGACATTGAAAACCGAACACCAAGAACGTGTTGGAATTTTTTGACCAAACTTCCTATATAAGTTAGATATCAGTAGTACAAGAAATGATGAGAATTTGGGTAGTATCGGTAGGACAGTTTGTCTGTACCATAATCTTTTTTGTTCAAACCATGGAAGAAAACATCAGCTCTTGTATGGCTATTATTGTCACTGTCATCGAATTTGGTGTTGGTGGTTCTGTATTATTCTGGCAAGATGCCTCCTGCACGTAGACGTCGTAATTTCAGTCAACTTAGCGAGTTTGATAGAGGAAGGATTGTGGGCTTGCGAGAAGCTGGAAAATCGTTCCCGGAAATTGGGGCCATAATGCAGAGGAGCGCAAGCACATTTTCAGAATGTTGGTGGGCATGGACAGAGGAAGATCGACAATGAAGTTCCAGAGGCACAGGTGGTCGACAGCAAACAACACATCGTCAAGACCGCCATCTTCGACTTTTAGTTTTAAGAGACCGTTTTGCAACTTCCCGATCAATTGGAGATAATGGTAGGCTGAGACAGGACGACTAGTCACAGTACGAACGATTTCCAGGCGAATACGGTCCTTTGGACTTCTCTTGTATCGTCCTCATTATGTGCTTCCGCTCACGGTTGCACACCGCTGTGACCGGCTGCTCTGGTGCAGAGAACGACAGCTTTCGGAACAACATCATCTTCAGTGATGAATCCTGGTTGTGTTTGGTAAAGCATGACAGTCGGGTAAGGATGAGAAGACGAAGAGGAGAACGGGACAATTTGCAATTTGCAATGGAAAGACATGTGCATCGCGCTGTGGGGGTAATGGTATGGGGTGCTATGGCGTATGGAAGCAGGTCACCTCTAGTCTTTGTTAGAGACAACATGAACGCTCATCGTTTCATCCACGAGATTGCAGAACCCCATCTTTTGCCATATCTTCAAACGCTCCCAACCCTCTTTTTCAACAGGTTAACGCCCGTCCTCATGTTGCACGTTTTAGTTTAAATCAATTTGAGTCAATATTTTGCCATGGCCACCCCGTTCACCTGACCTTTCACCCTTTTAACATGTATGGAATTTAATGGGTAAAAAGCTCACAAAGTTAATGCATCCTCCACAGACCCTAGAAGCTTTACGACATGACGTACAGCTCGCATGGGATGCGGTACCTCAGCCGGATAAAGATCATCTTATCAGATCCATGCCAAGACGAGTCAATGAGTGCATACGTCTTAGAGGTGGTCAAACCTATTATTACTAAAAACTTGGTTCTTCTTTGATTTTTTAACTTGAAATTTTCATCGATTGGTCACCGACCCTCTGTAAATATGTGGTGTTAAAATCATTATAAAATTCCAACTCGTTCTTGGTGTTCGGTTTTCAATGTCGGTTAGTATATGTATGTAGTTGGGAAGATCGTTAATTTAAATTAGAAATAATAAGGATCTGAGGACCGACCTTGAGAAACCCCTGTTGTAATAGAGCGAGCGAACGAATCTTTGTTGAAAAACACGAAATGAGTTCTGTTAGTTGAAAAGGACTCTAAAAACTGAATACTATTTTCCTTGACATAATAATGTTTAAGTTTATCAAAAAAGCATTCACGCAATTAAATGCTTTACTTACATGAAAGCTTAGTATTGAGGTGTAAGTTTTTGATTCAAAACCTTGTAAAATATTACAACAATGCAGTTTACAAGCACTATTGTTGACCTATTTTTTGCTGAAACCAAATCGTGAACTATGTACCAATCCATTATTTTTAAAGTGATCCTTACGTTCCACTTTTAGTATGCTCAAATATTTGACCTATAAATCTGTACGAATGATATAAGTCTGATCGTTTTTGGTATAGAAAATCAGCGTAACTTCAACAACTAGATCCTGCAGTATTCTTAAAGCTTTTTTTGAATTTTATTAGCATAACGAAGATCTTTAGGAAAAAAAAGGAAAGCACTGGATCATAATAGGTTAACAAATTGTTCAAATGATTTCTAAACATTACTCACTAGTTAAAGTAAGTATCATTCCAAAAATTGCAGTTTCTATTTTTTGGTAAGTTATATAATAAAAAAAGCCCCCGCCCCCGCCATTGATTGGTGTAAAAATTTGTATACTCTTAACCTTTTTGTTGCTTTAAATATTTAAATGCGGTGAGATGAAGCCCAGACAACACCCTTACGATCCGACAACCGTGAATCATAAACTGTGCTTATGTAGTTTGTAAAAATACTGTCCAGCCTGTCGTGGACTTGTATTCTCATGTATTGTTTGAACCAGACCGAAGGAACGAAAAGTGTTAATCAGATTACGTATCTTTTTATGTGAAGGACCTATCAAGTTTGACATTAAAATCGCTAAAATGTTAAACTTTTGATAAGTTTGGTGGATAACAACCGAAACTTGTTAACCAACTTTTTTAATAAAAACTTATTGTTAATGTGACGTTGACCTAATTTATCCACATACCTTAATATTTTTCTATTAATAAGATTCTTTGAAATCAAAGGTTTTATTTAGTATTCATTTAAATTGCTAAACCTAGGTGTTTCAGTTACTTTAAAATCTATATATTACAAATGAAACAAAAAACTGGACGTTTCACACATCGTATTCTACAAGGTGTGAAACGTCGAGAACACATGAAATTAGTCATTGATTTGTATAGTCTGTATGACTTGAATCCATTTTAGAGGTCGCAATAAACAATTAAACGTTTGGCCTAAAAAGAACCGTAAATATTAAGATACCAAAGTCGTACATATTATTTATTACGTTGATCGGTGAATAAAATCGGCGTAGGTAAAACTCAACAATGTATTACTTAATAACTCGAATTACACGACTAACTATTACAGCGACTATGTACAGAATAACTCCGTGGTGCAACTTGAATGCATCCACTCGACTTGCTGACTGGACTGGCTGAATTGCTGAATAGTAATCGTTCTCGACGGTGGCCTCTATTTAAACCTATACGTTCCTCTCGATGCTTCGCGGGTTTTCTGGGCCCATCGCGACATCCGCTTCCAGGCTTTGCTTTAGCAAACGCCGCGTCACTGGCCAATGAGTCACATTTCATACTAAAAGAAACACGTACGTACAAGAAGAGCTATAGGCGTTGTACCTGGGCGGCGTATGGGTTTATTTCGTAACAATATATTGCCATGTTCCTCATATTGTCAGGACTAAAAAATCACCTATTTTAAGTAACTGGAACATATATCGCTGTAAGTTGTCTTTATAACGGGCAACTATTACTCACGTAACAATCCTTTACTGCTAAAATATATGTATGAACCATAGAAATAATATTATATGGAAGTAACTTAGAGAGAGACGCGCGTTGTCAACACAGTGGGACAGAAATAGGGCTCTCTGGGTGGCAAAACATTGACACGAAACTGCAGAGCACTGTGTTTCTGGAGGTTTCTTTCGTGCTGTCGCATGGTGTTTAAAGGTGTATTTTTTCAAATTTACGTTTTTTAGGCTCAAGTTACCTTATTTAAATGTCTACAGTCTTCTTTAGTTGTATTTTATTGGACTATTTGTTAAACATCGTGAAATCGTGTTATGCGTATAATTGAATAGAACGTGCAAAGAAAGCAATCCTGTTTCATTTCATAAGTAATAATCGCATACACAGACGAAGGATTTCGTAAATAATTTAAAAAATCTGTTAGATTCCCTAAACATTCCGAGTTACGAAAAAAACGGATTATTGCTTCAAAAAGAGGGAATTTTATATCTATTGATTATTGTTTTAGTTATTTGTACGTGGATTTAGAAAATAGATTTTAGAAGAAAATTCCACACAGTTTAATATGTTTAATTTAATTAGGCACCCTGTCACTTTTATCGCAAGTTTAATTACTTTTATCCTAAAAATTTCAGAATT